GAAATAAAGAAAAAAAAAAAAACAAAACAAAAAAAAAAAAAAAAAAAAAAAAAAACAAACAAAAAAAAAAAAAAAAAAAAAAAAACAAAAAAAAAAAAAAAAAAAAAAAAAAAAGAAACGTCAAGAAATTTCGATTGTTTGTCTGAACGCGCGTGAACAAATTCTCCTACTCACTAAACGCTTACAATATACAGTGAAACGAAATGGGACAGATGTAAACTAACGCGCTATGTTGAAGCTTAAATGGAATATTTTATATGCATGTACATCTCTTATGTGGAGGGGGTGGGAGGGTTTTGGAGCGCTATGCTGGTGAAAGAGATGATTTAAAGTATTAGTTAAGTTTTAGGGTGTACCCAATCGTGGACTAAAAGTCCTAGGTAGGGAATTTGGGGTGCGAGTGGGTGTATCAGAACAGGAGAAAAAATGAAAATACCCAGTGCGACTACTGGCAAGCAAACTGGCTGCCTTGGTGGGGTGCTGGGGGGTGTGAGTGATGCGCAAATTAGAGTATTGTGGGTTCTCCGAGACTGGTTTGGTTTCTTGCGTGTGCTATGTGGGCAGCCGAAGCTTGATTCTCGACGCTCGACCCTCATCTATCGGCTACAGACTGTCATACCACGACTTGCTTGGGCGCCCGTCTATTCCATACTGGCAGTGGCTTGAAAAAATTACCGAGTATTTTTGACGTTTAGGGCCCAGTAGTTACCGAATAAGGGGGTGTTTACCCAGTGAGGAGGCACGGGGCAGGGAGAGAGCACCTGGAGAGCGTCCTAGCGAGAGACGATACGATTCGGAGGGGAAAAAATTACACAAAGGTTGTCTACCTGGAAACAGAAAAGCCCATGCCACATACGTTGGGAGCCATGCCTGTTAAAAATGGTAGCCTAAAGCGCTTACTGGGAACAGGCGTGTAATATACATTCTCTAAGCACTGTAGTGGTGAGGGCCAAAGCCAAATTGAACGTGAACTTGAACTTGAACTTGAACGTGAACGTGAACGTCAACGCGGAAGTCTAAGACTAAACTTAGACGAATATAAAGCCCAAGGTGGCTGTGAATTGCCTTTGCTGCCTTTGGTGGCATTGCTATTCTCACCTTCCTGGATCGAGAACCTGTCAAAATCTTCACTGAGGCACTAAAAAAATTTATTTCCTTATTAGCCTGAAATATGCGCGATTCGCGTTTTTTTTTTATCGCCAGTGGCCCAGACCGTTTAACGATGTTCCAAGCATAATGGTCGTTGCTTTCAATTGCTGGTTCCATTGCCTGTTGCTCGTAGTAGTAGCACTTCCTTCACTCACGCTATCTCATGTGCCTCTTCAAATATCCATTGCTTTAAACTCTATTGTCATTAAAGTTTCTTCTCGTAAGATTAAAACATTTTATTTCTGAAACGGTAAATTGTTTGGGGCTAAAATGTATCAGACCCCGACGGAGAAATTTCCGAATCCAGCGCTTGAGCGTGACATTGGTTGAGTGCTACCAATGGTAAAGTATAAATTATTTTCAAATCTTGCACTAACTACGTCATCGACACAGTAGTATAATGCCAAACGTGGAGTAGGAAAGAAATATGTTCGACCAAGGTTACTTCTGTCCAGTACTCGTAATTCCAGTGGATTGAGATGGTAATCTTTCCGTATTCCATATAGCTCATGAGTTGACTGTTCGTATCATTAGTGGAATTCACGTGATGGATATCACATAACTGGACAAACTCAACATGGCTCAACATGGCTTAGTACTGATTATTCTACAATAGGATAATTCATTAATGCCCTGATATGGGAAGATTTCATGTAGTATGGGGCCAGGAATCCAAGACTTTTCAGTTTTCTGCGGCGCAGTTTATGCAACTGGTATGAGTTCAACCACAATTTGCAGCCAAATGCCAGTCGTTTGTAGTTGCACCATTTTCTTACAAATACTGTTACGGAAAGATAAAAAATACTAAAAAGGTGTATTAAGGTCCTTATAGATATTACAACTCTGCTTAGGCTTACATACCTTTTTTTATCAACAAATTTTCTCTGGATCGGGTCTATGATGTCAAATCACCAAAGTAAAAGAAATAAGCAAAACAATCCCAAAAGACATTCAATTGGAGCAGCCCCGTAGGCAACTGCAGCACCCTTTGATCTGCATCCGACATAACCTATATTGAAGGACAAGTTCGAGAAACTTATATTACTCCAGACTTCAATCGGATCTGAACCTTCAATATTGAAAGTCAAGTTCGAGAAATTTGCCTCACTTGAGTCTTTAAGTACTATACCTACATGTGAGTGACCTAGCCACCAATCATCTTGAAAACTAGCAACTTTCACCGATGGTGAGCATCCAAGATCATATGGCGAGCACGTGTGGTTGCAAAGTGGGTGGGATGTGAAATTATAGTGGGATGTGAAATTATATGATATACTAACATAGTCCATTGGTGAGAAGCACCCAAGATCACATGGCGAACACGTTTGGTTGTAAAGTGAGTGGGATGTGCAATTATATGATGGACTAACATAGTCCATTGGTGAGAAGCACCCAAGATCATATGCCAGGCAAGCTTGGTTACTAAGTGGGTGAGATGTACAATTATATGATGGACTAATATAATCCATTTTCTCTTAGTCTCGTTCTGATAGTTTTGTTTTTGGGAAGGAATGAAAGGTGTAATAAGTAAATCACTAGTGAAAGGGAAAGGAAAGAGATCTAAAAGGATGATGTTTAGGATTAAGTGTATAGGGGATACATCCTGAAATTACCAAAAAGAATGTACCAATGGTGGAGAAGTAAGTAATCTCCGCGATATTGCTTAAGTCTAAATGAAAATATTTAAGCAGATGTACATCTCTTAAGTGGAGGGCAAAAGTAAGTTTTACGATCGATATGGAAGAGATGGTTTATGTTGTCAGTTTGGTTTTAGGCTGTAGACCGAGAGTCCTGTGAAGGGAATTTGTTGTGTGAGTTGGTGTAGTGGAAAGCAAAAGAATTACCCAATTCGACTACTGGTTGGCAAATACTATGCTGCATGTAAGAGATGGAAGGGAAAGAATGAAGTCCCTTCCAGGAAGCAAAAACTATGCATGGAGCCATACTTAAAAAAGAAGGTAGTAAAAGACCTTACAGGCAAAGGTCGTACTGAATGTCATTCTTTTTGGTAACTTAGTGGCAAAGGTAAGTGAAAGCAAATACAAGTCTAAAGCAAAGCTTAGCGTAGTGTGCTGTCGAAGGGAATTATCTTCCTCTGGTTCGCGTCTAAAGCCGCTACTTTTCTTAGGGAGAGCTCATCCTTCCATTGTGTGAACTATACTATCAGGAAGTTAGCACTCTATCTATGCCTTGCTACTCTACTATTCTCTTCGGAATTATTTATTGTTCTACTGTTCAGGTTGCAAAGATCGACTCTTCATTAAATCCGGTTTCTTAGCGCAGGCGATCTTTCCATATGATAATCAGATACTGTGGGCATAAATCTCTATCTAGTAATATTTTTTATTGGATATTAAAGCCAATACATGCCTGTCTGCAACCTTAATGCTTGGATTGTATCCATATCGAAAATAGAATTTAAGAAGTAAGGCCCTCAAAGGATTAAGGTTACAAATTTTAAAGAAAGTCACGTGACTGGTGTAGAATGGTATGCATAGGGTTTATGAAAGTGCTAATCTGCAAGAAGCTAATTTAAGAACAGGCAGGTGTAGTTTGAGAGCTCCCAGATTGTTATATATTATCTTCTTAACTTCTACTTTACAGATTAGCAGCCTTCTATTTTCGAGGCGTACACCAAGCGTATATTCACAAATTTCAATTTCACTCAGGCGAACATTGTTACCAGTTTGGAAAAAAAATCGCACTGGTTATGATCGACGTGCCATCCACTAATTGATTGCATCTTGACAAAGAGTGTCAAGGCTGTGCATAATAAGCGTGAGGTTCCACGATTATGTGATACGAGATTATATATCTTCGGCTACATCTGCAAACACTAGAAAATAAAGACAAACATTAATTAATTATCTATGCAAATAACACTTATTATATATATACTACAAACTTTTTTTTTCGCACTCACAATATTGCTAAATTCAGCCTAAAGTAAAAGGAATGAAGCAACCAATCCGAAAAGACCTTCAATTGGAGCAGCACCGTATGCAACTGCAGCAGCCTTTGATGAGGAACTGGTTGCAGTGGCAGAAGCAGAAGTTGCGGAGGATGCAGCACTGGTGGTACTAGAGGTGGTGGAGTTAGCAGAAGAAGAAGTGCTAGATGAGGAAACAGCTGAGCTGGTGGCAGATGACGTAGTAGATGAAGAAACTGGAATTTGATCACTGTCATAAACGTTATAGAAGGCAGAACCACCACAACTGTAAGAACTATCACCAGGACAAGGGATATCACAAGATGCAGAAGATGATTCACCTGAGGTTGGTTCATTTTCCAAACAGTAACACTGGTTACCCTTGTAGAGCGCAATGATCTTGTAACCAGAACAGGACTCTAAACAAAGTTGAGGGGTCTGGAGAACATTAGCTCCGACGTTAACTACGTAGTTGATAGTAGAATAACATCCGATGGTTGAGTTGGCTGCGGACACTACGGTGCACAAGAGAGCAGCTGCGTAACAAATTTGGAACTTCATCTTCTTTGGTGTGTATTAGTCTAATTTAATCTGCTTTCTTGCAAAAGGAAATTAACGAAATTTTTCGGGGGAAGCGTTGGAATCGATGTCAAAAAAAGGGATCCGAGCCATCTAGTTATATACTCTCGAGAAAAAAGCGCAAAAATCGCAAAATACGCACTAAAAAATATCTCTCCGTATGGCAAAAAGCGAGGAAACGCAAGGTTGACATATAAATTCGAAACATCGCAAAATTTGAGCCAATGAAAAAGTTGAGATCGGTTTTCACCCATCCATCTGTTTACATTTAGAGAGGCTTCGAAATAACATGTATGTCATGTGTGTTATTTATTTGAAAAACATATACAAAATGATAAAGAAGGAGAGTAATTGTACGAATAGCTTCCAGTATACTAGTGCCAGGGCTAGTTTACCCCTCATGACAGATTGCATCATAGGCTTCGAGTATGGATTAGTTCCCTTTTCAGTTTGGGATTTTCCCTGGCGATTATTTCTTTCACTTTCATTTTCACTTTCACTTTCACTTTCACTTGCACTTGCACTTGCACATTCTACTTCAGCTTTTTCTGTGTGCCCCTTCTCTTGGCGTATTATTGTATCCCTATTGGTTAGGGGCAAGATGGGAACGTATGTTCTGCCCACTCGGCACATGATACCTCTACTCTGGAGTAGTCTGGCTGATTACTGTACGTGTATAGTCGACGACCGGAGTATCGTCTGATGAGGAGTAATGTGGTTTCAATGGGGTACCTTCCCTTTTTTTGCCCTTCGTTTCACTTTCACTTTTTCCCTATTATCTCCGCAATTCATTGAACAAATCTAATCAGTCGTAATTTAAGCTTTAGCCAGCACAAGTACGACGCAATGTGCAGGATCCTCAATTGTAGTGCTGCTCTCGGCTTGTCTTCCTGTTTGAGCCCACTTCTTTAAGCCATGTCTTCTTTGTCTGGAGATATTCGTGTATTGTTCTTATGTAACTTGCCTATTTTTTTTCCTATTCTATATATCATTAACCATCATCAACCCCAAAAACGAGTCGATCACCTCGGTTGCGGCCAACTGTGTAATTTCGGAGTTTGTATCAAATGGTGGACTGACTTCTACAACATCTGCTCCCACCAAGTTAATTCCTTCTAAACCATCAAGGATTCCTAACAATTCTCTTGTAGTCCAACCTCCAGCTTCCATGGTTCCTGTTGCTGGTGCAACTGAGGGATCTAATACGTCGATATCTACTGATATGTAAACTGGCAGGTCACCTACTCTTCTTTGAATTCTCTCAATTATCGCTTCTCTGCCGAAATTATCGAGATCTCTAGCAGTTATCGTTTCAAATCCACATTGCTTATCATGCTTGATATCGTATTTTGGTGCAATATATGGAGCTCTTAATCCCAAATGCATGCAACTCGACTTGTTCAAGTATCCATTCTCAGCTGCGTAGTGGAGGAAAGTCCCATGGTTCAAGGACATGTAGTCGGTTATGCCACCACCCAACACCTTAGGATTCCATGTATCAATATGAGAATCAAAGTGCAACACGGACAACTTACCATACTGCTCATAAGCAGATTTTAAAGCCATCAATGTGATGGTATGGTCACCACCCATGGTAATGATCTTAGGGGCCCTATTACCAGCAACAGTAGTCTTGTGCTTATGAATTGCCCTTTCTCCTCTGTATAGCTGATTTAGAGCAATTCTGTTATCAAAGGGAGTCATGGGGACATCGCCACAGTCAATGACTGAAAAATTGGTAACGTAAGGATCCAACCCAATCAACTTCGAGTCAGGCTTCCCATTTCCCCTGACTGGCGTTCTTCCTTCACCCAACCTTCTTGAATTCAGTCTAAGTCCCTCGGGGCCAAATCTTGCTCCTGGTCTGTAGCTGGTTCCCGTGTCGAAAGGAGCACCAACAATGGCAATATCAATGTTCTTGTGATACAATTTAGGATCAAAGCAGTTAAAGTGACTAAGATGTGCAAAGGTCAAGATTCCTCCGAACAAGCTTGGTGCACTTAAGTCTGATGTATCATCGCTGTCAGGGTACTCGATTTTACTTTTGTATTTCCTGTAACCTTGATGAGATCTTGCAGCCATATCTTCCTTTGAAGACTTTCGTTGCAATTCTGAAAAAGAAGCATAATCTGCGGTTCTAAGTAAACTTTCCATCTCTGCCTGGAGATCTCTAGAGCCTTGTTCCTCTATATACGAACTATGCAGCATTACTTCCCGATTACCAACTAACTCTTGTTTGAATTTCATAGACTCTTCCGATTCGACCAATTCTCCATAAATGGAGTCAATGAAAGATTCCTCAAATTCAGCATTCTTGAATACAACCAATTCTTCAGCATCTATCACGGCCCTCAATGCGACCGCACTTGATATTAACAATGGCAAGCAGCCTATCTTCATAATTTCTTTTTGGTACTAGAATTTTGTAAATTTCAAAACCAACTTGAATTATAATATGCCTGCTAGCTCGTTTACTTCAACAGTTACCGTATATATGCCCTATATATATATATTTATAGCTCACATTCGATTGCTGGCCTTCATTTAGGCTTCCCCATACTCTTGCCAAACGCGGAAATCGGATGCGGAAATTGCGCTAAGAAAGCGGAATTCACTATCTTCACGCCTAGTGAATTTTTCAAGTAACTAGGCCCTCTACAGAGCGGTGTTTACTGTTGTTATCAGATATCAGGCTATGTTAATTAAATATGTAAATCATTCTATATAAGATTCAGAGTACTGTGTTTCGATTTTTCGGTTTTCTTTTCGTCTTTTTTTTGGCTTTTAACTCTTTTGGTGCTTCCTTAGTTGTAGACGTTACCTAATGTTATAGCTTTGATAACTGTGTAGTCGTCTATTCCGTGTAAGGAACCCTCTCTACCGAAACCGGATTCCTTAACACCACCGAATGGAATGGAGGCGTCAGTGAATATACCAGTGTTTACAGTAACCATACCAGCTTCCAAAAATTCACTCATGAACCATGCAGTGTTCAAGCTCTCAGTGAAAACATAACTGGCTAACCCGTACTCTGTGTCATTACACCATTGCAATACTTCTTCCCTTGTAGAGAACTTGATAATGGCACCCAATGGACCGAAAGTTTCTTCCTTGGCTACCTTCATATCTTGAGTAACGTTTCCTATAACAGTTGGAGCGTAGAAATGCTTACCTAATTGAGGCAACTTACCACCTTCAAGAAGTACCTCAGCACCCTTAGACACAGCATCTTGAATGTGATCCTCAACTTTGGTAATGATTCTATCGTTGATTAAAGATCCGTGAGTGACACCTTCGTCCAAACCATTCCCAATCTTGAATTTCTTCACTGCAGCGACAAACTTTTGAGTGAACTCATCGTAGATTTTCTCATGGACGTAAAGTCTATTAGCACACACACAAGTTTGACCTAAGGATCTAAACTTAGAGGCAATTGCTTGCTCTACTGCTAAATCTATTTTGGCATCGTCAAATACAATCACTGGAGCGTTACCACCTAATTCCATAGACAACTTCTTCAAGGTAGACGAAGATTGCTTCATCAACAATTTTCCAACAGCGGTAGAACCAGTGAAGGATACCTTCTTGATAAGTGGAGATTCACAGAATTTTAAACCACACATTGGGGTGCTTTCAACTGAAGATAACACAACATTGAATACACCTTTGGGGAATCCTGCCTTGTCTGCCAAATATGCCATTGCCAAAGCGGAAAACGGAGTTTGAGCATCTGGCTTCAAGATAGTAGTACATCCTGCAGCAATTGCTGGTGCAGCCTTTCTTGCACCCATAGCAGAGGGGAAATTGAATGGACACAACAATCCGACAGGGCCAACTGGTTGCTTGTAAGTTATAACCTTATTGTTGTGATTGGTAGGTTGAATGGTGTGACCATACATTCTCTTGGCTTCTTCAGCGAACCATTCAAAGTAAGAGGCAGAGTACTTAACTTCTCCCAATGAATCTGCTAAACTTTTACCGTTTTCAATGGTGATAATTCTTGCCAAATCGTCAAGATTCTCCATCATGAGATCGTATAGCTTTCTTAAGGTCTTGGATCTTTCATATGGAGAAGTCTTCTTGTACTTTTCAAAAGCTTCATAAGCACATTTGATAGCGTAATCGATTTCTTCTGGAGTTTGATCTGGTAACTCAAGCAAGAACTCTTCAGTTGCTGGGTTGGTGACCTTAAAAGTCTTAGTTGACTTCGATTCAAACCATTCACCGTTGATGAATGGTTTAGTTTGGATAAGTTCTGGGTTCTTAAGACCAAATGGCATGATTCTTAGTATTTAATAGTTTGGTTACTTGGTAATTGACAACTCTCGTCTGCAAGGCTAGTCCAATGTCGAAATTAAATCTATCCCCTGTTGTTTGGAAGAATCGAAATGGAATTTATACTTAAACACTTTCTCTTAGCGGGTTCGGAGATTTCGATCTTACACTTAGCGCAACATTGCTCGATTAGGTAATCCGCTATTAAATGTCAATGTCGCAAAATACCACTTACATAATCAGATCTTAAAGTAGTAGATGACAAATTGCTGCTTACGAGTCAATAGGTTGTGGACAGTCAATGTAGATCGCAGCAGAATAGCTTATTAATGGGCTAGAAAACAATTCTAGACCCCGTATTTGATCAAAGCAGCGGAACTACGATAATTTGAAGGAAACAGTGTGGGGATGACATTGTATGCTCAAACCACCAGAAGCATTGAGTCACACACCTCATTTAACGAGTGGTAGGTCAATATCCCCATTAGATCCGAGAATTGGTTCTAATTCCTTGTCTCGGGGAGATTTTGTTTCAATTGTTGCAATTGTATACCCTGAGTAAACTCTGGCTGAATTGGCCTCTGGCTAACTTGGACTCTAGTACAGAAGGATGAAAAATCAGCTATGGATCGAAAGCACACAGCCCTACATTTTCGCCAGACTCTCGAAGTCACCAGCATACTGCGCACCTTCGCTTTCTAGCATCGAGGGACTGAACAGGTTACGAGGTTTTCTACAGTGACTACATGTAAAATCCAGTGTATGTTTACTCCCCATTCTGTACAATGTTTACTTCCTCACCCCTACTAGACATATCTGTAATGTTTACTATACTGGTGGGGCTTAGAATCAGCTAATTGTGCATTGGCTAGGGGCAACTAAAGGCGTTAATGGGGTAGTAGCATTTCGTCACACGGTATCCGGGGAGAGCTTACGAAAATATAAAGGCTGTGAACAGCTCGTATCTTATTCCATTTGCCACTATTTTTAGACTAAATCAAATGGTAAGGCTATGTTTGGTTGCACTTGCGCATAAATCTCAATTTTGATCTTGGCGTGGTGGCTGTTCATAGACTCAAGTCCAACACCATACCTCGCCGCATCCTTACTCTGACCTATGTAGTATAGTCGTGGCTCGCAAATAGCTACCAGCGAGGCTAAAAAAAGAACAGAAGTAGAATATACCAAGGTATAGGAATAAGGATTAGGGTGAATACAGTTTGTTACATAATCGCAGTATTAGGTAATCGGGTCATACTAAGCGTACATAAATGTACACCATGAACCTAGAAACAATGCAGTAAAACCCGAATCTTGCTAAACGGCTGATTTTATTTTAGCATTTCCATGATACAGGGGGGGCAAAAATCTTAAAGTAAACGAATAATCAAAGGATGCATAGAGGTATATAGTGCAATTCTATCTACAGTCTAGTTCATCTGTCAGCTGAGTAACCCGGTTTTCGCTTTTCATCCATACATGGCAATTGTGGATCTGTATATCGGCCGAGCTTCATCATTGATCCTCCGGAATAGATGGACGTAATTAGTTCCCACCCGAAGCGAGATTTTCCAGCCAGTTCGCTAGCCTTTTTTTCAATTTTTTTTTTCAGCGTGTTCTTCGTAGGAAATAAGCTTTTTTTTACGGCCGCAAGTATCATTCTTCCAGCTCAATCTATCTTTTTTTTTTTCGTTTTTCTCGTAACTCTTGCATATGCAAGGATGGTTAATGCTGTTTACAGACATTCAGCGGACATATGGTGTGTAGGAAAAATGACTTAGCCGTAGGGTGCTATGACTTGCCCTTGGATTTAAAGTTTACTACTAAGCAACGCCCAAACAATAACAAATTGCAGATGAAAAGATTGGAATATATATACGAGGCGAAATAATTCAATATCCTATCAGGTTGTCATTTTTGCTCATTCATATTTTGAACTACCTTGACCTATTTCATCTCCCTCGGTATCGGTTCACATTCAAATTCCGCGTGCTTCTATAGAATTAAATTTTTTTTGTTATTAATTGTCGCATTTCGAAGTTCCACTTGCTGCAATTGAATTCTTAACTCCACTTCCGAAGTTATACGAATTAACTCCTACATATATATATATATATATATAATAGCCTAGCAGTTCACTGGCAATACCCTGGTAAGAGTAGTTTTTGGGTTTTGGTTTTATATATATTGAGATTTGTTTATTTTCCTCTTAAGCTCCCTTTTCCAATCTTTCCATATTGAGGGTTTCTACTGCTGGTACTTTAAGAGCCTTTTCATTGGAGACAGCAAATCTTTTCATGATGGATATGCACAATTTAGTGTCTAAGTTGGTCACTTACAGTACCTTAGGCTTGGTGAGAGACAGGAATAAGAAACAGAGAGAAGACAAAAGATCGCAATCCCCCCTGTCGGTGTATTCAAGCGATGTAGCATGTTTCCCCACAAAGCAGGCCTCATCACCAATACAGCGAGGCAATAGTACCACTAAGGTAACCACTAGAGTGAATAGAAGCGAGGCCAAACGATCAGGAAACTTGAGTCATATAACTTCTCTGCAAGCACTCTCGGGAGCTGCACACGCTTACTATAGAAATACAACTCCGAAGCACGACACCAACCACCACCCATTGCATGGTTTATACATACCAGACGTTGTGGTGAGGCACGGTAGCATGAGTCTGAGTGATGAGTATATACTGGCCCAAGCTCTGTTGAGGACTGTATGTATCGCATAGTAAAAAAGAGAGAAAAAAAAAAAAAAAAAACCTAAGTGGAATTAAATCCTGTGTACATTAATTAAATTTCATTCGTTTTAGGCTGATAGTATTTGTAATGATCACAATACTGTCATCTAAATGATATCCTGGGGGACTTGCGGCATTTATAGATTCTTCTCACAAATAACATTAACAAGGTTTATGTCAGAGAGTTCGTTTTACCCTTTCCATGTAAATAGAGCAATTATAAACAATCAGCAGTAAAATGTGTAGGAAACTCACCAGTTTAGCTTTACTTGGCTTGGAAAGTAGGCAGAAAAAAAAAAAGGGAAAAGGAAATTAGAACAATTGAAGAAGGTATTGCATGTGTGCAGTCTTAAACGAAATAAGGTACGATCTGTACGATGAACAAAGAATTTGCACTTGAGTCACGAACAAGCTTATCACATAGTTGTGGCCCATATGCTGCTTTAGGCTCTTACTCGGGATAACTCGGACACCATTAGTAAGAGATATGACCCACTAATAAAATTGCCAGGTTGGTGTAAGAAAATATCTCGTTTCATTTTTTCAACTGAGTAAGCCAGAAACTTGTGCCGAGCTTGTTGTTAGCCTGAGAAGCTCTGGCTCATAAGATGGTTCTGAATTTCTTTTTCTTTTTTTTTTTTTTTTTCATCTTGTTCGTTTTCCCAATCTCGTCAGCGCTTCGCTGTTTCTGCGCTCGCTCTCTTTTGTTCCACATGCGGTAGTCTATCTCGCAAAAGTCGTTTTATACTCAGAAATTGCACTGCCTTCTTAAGACACGAAACTGCAATTCTCACATTGAGCTCTCCACGCTAACAGCCTCTCGCACTAAGACTACCCGAGTCCAGTTTTCTTCTCATTTAATCTACATTTTCACTGCATAAAGTCACAACAAACAAGGGACGAGAAGGAACGCAAAAAAAAAAAATACTAAAAAGCAAAGGTGCGCAGAAGCAAACTGATCTATAAACACAACTCGAAGGACCCTTCTCTTCTCTTTGCTCGTCTTCTGTTGTGCATTTTTACCTGGAATCCTTTGGTCTATCTGTATATATATCAAGCGTATACACAGCAGAATAACATCAACCAATTTAATCCAGGACTTTCCCTTAGTATTCAGGTTTAAACTTTTCTTCGTTGAAAATCTATTTTTAATTATTCAATAAGGATCATATCAAAAAAAAAGTAGAGACCACTCATAGGCGATACACAAGTCAACATCAGAATAAATCTTTCGCAATTAGCATTCGTTTTCTTCTTCCATAATACTGATACACTGTCATGCAACTAAACTTCCAGTTGTTGCTTTTATTTATAGCACTTGCATTCAAGGCGAGTGCCGATGTGTCCATTTCTGCACCTACTGAAGATGCCCTGTTCTCAGGATCCAGTGGAACTGCATCGGTGAAGCTTTCCTGGGTTGATGACACTGATGATGATACAGATGACTACTCTTTGTCCAACGCAAAGACGTACACTATTTCATTGTGTTACTATACCGAAACGTCTTTTACGTGTGTGAAGACCCCCTTAGCATCTGCTAAGACGTTTTCTTCGCCTTATTCCTATACAGCAAGTATAGATTCAACTGATTACTCAGATGGAACTTATTTTTTCCAAATTTATACTGTTTTTGATGATAAATCAACAACTATCCATTACTCCAATGACTTTAGTTTAACAGACATGTCAGGATCTGCTGCGACTATTACTGCTACTTACACGGGTGATACGCCAGACGCACAGACTTCTGCTACTGGAGCGGGTGCGGGCACTATAAATTCTGCATCTTTCAGCGTAGCTTATACGGCGCAAACAGGAAAGACCCGGTATGCTCCCATGCAAACGCAACCAGGGTCCACTATAACTGCTACCACTTGGTCAAGAAGGTACGCAACCAGTGCCGTCACATACTATACTTCCCTTTCACCCTCACCTAACGTTCAATCCACAATCACTCCTGGTTGGAGTTATACTGCTGTGTCAGCTGTAAACTGGGCGTCCGTGGCTCCATATCCTACTTACTACTATCCAGCTAGTTCTAGAGTTAGTAGCGCACTGTTGAAGTCTGCTAAGAAGAAGAGATGGTTAGACTAGGGAATGAGATCGAGAAGATAAAAAGGAATGGACTCGCTCCAATGCGTAGTGGATGGGGTTGTTATAGACTGTATTTTGAAAAATTTACCCTAAAATGAAAAACGTCAAGAAAAAAACTGAAAAAAAAACTCAAAATCTAAAATAAGAAAAAAAGTAGTATAGTAAATGTATAAAAGCATAGGAATATATACAAGAAAGTAGATAATATTATATTCATTGTATTAAGAAGTAGTGAATTGTAGTGAAATGTCTTTGTTGGCCGATTGATTTTCGACTGAATCCATTTTTAAGGATATCACGTGATGAAACAACTTTTTCACTCCTCTCAAATTTTTCTACATATTTTTCATTCAGCATCTTGCAATCTCTACCTTTACGGAATCATTATCCAGAACCAAAATGATCTACTTGAAAACCGTTCTTAACGTCATCGATAACTCTGGCGCACAGCTTGCTGAGTGCATCAAAGTCTTACGTCATAATCCAAAAAACTTCGCCAAGGTTGGTGACGAAATTACCGTCGTCATTCAAAAGGCTAGACCTTTGACCACAGATATCACCGGACAATCAGCCAACAATAGAGTAAAAAGAAGAGACATATGTCGTGCTATTGTGGTGAGAACTAAATCTCCATTTAGAAGACCAGATGGCAGTATAGTTAGATTTGATGATAACGCTTGTGTATTGATTAATAAGAATGGTGATCCATTAGGAACCAGAGTTTCATCGGTGGTAGCAAAAGAGTTGAAAGAATTACAATATAATAAGATTGTTGCATTAGCACCAAAGATTTTTTAAATAGAGAGAAGGGGGTGTTGTGAAAATGATGATAAAAATTTGTACATAGTAATACTAATAAATGATGATATACTTATAAAATGAAATACCTAGCTATTTTACTAGTAAATGATATACTTAAAACTGTGATATTTGATTATTTCATTCTTGAGTACAGATGAAAATGCAGGTGTTTTTGGTTCCTTTTTTTTTTATGATTTGTATTATTTCTGGTTCTCTATGGACTTGGGAATATCTTCCAATTTGCCCTTGCTGAATGCCAGCACTATGTTTTCTAGACTGTCCGCTAGATCTTGATTGAGTTCTTTGTCGTCCATAGAATCGATCAAATTTTTGCCAGACACTATGATCTGCCTAAGTTCATCTGTAAATACTGAACTCTGTAGATTTACTAATTTAGAAGCTGTAGAGTCCTTATTCTGATTCTTATTCTTATTTAGTTTTTCCCGGAATATCCCCAACAAGTTGTTAAGTTCCAATTCCAAATCACTAAATTGCTTCTGGAAGTTTTGGTGTGCATGTGTGGAATCAATTTGTTGAGAGCAGTAATTCAAGTTTTCCAAGTGCTTCCCGAGCAACAGTTGACTTTCATTCAAAAGGGCTCTCAAGTCTGAAAGCTGCTTTTCCATTGGCTCATTTCTTTTGGATGAAGCTAAGGGAGATAACATCAGTCTGGTGTCGGAAGATGGTGAATCAGAGAAACTACATTCGGTGACTTCTGTTCTGCACAAGTAATATTTCATCGCAATATGACGAAAAAGGTAAAAATAGTAAAAATGAGAATAGCTTGGTGCATGCGAAGAGTAAGCTGACACACAGCAACACCAAAGACGCCATAGTGTGAAGTCAAACTAGGAGGGAAAAAAAAATAATGAAAGCTGGGTATTTATAACTTAAGAAACTGGAGCTCAGAGGAAACTTAGAGGAAAAAATGGAGGTTTAGAATGTGTAGGAGAGGTAGTTTGTCTTTACTCTGAAACAAACCATAAACAGAATGGTTGCAATTTCCAAACGAGGAAGAATAGACCAATTCCAATGTAGACTAGCTGAGCGTAAGAAAGATAGAAAAAAACGATTTGAGTAAAAAGTATGCAGGTGGAACGCATGGCTCTCTTTCCTGGATACTGGCCCCTCCCCTCCCTTCCAGATATCGTAGTCCTATCTTAGTACGGCTATCTTCGTATTATCAGGCTCACCTATGGAAATGCAGCATTTTCCATGAGTCATGCAGGTTAATAACATGGGATAAAATACAAACAGTTACAAAACAAGCAGAAACATACCATTCTTCAAACCAGTTCCAAACCTAACTTATCAACCTACCTCAATTAGCTTCTCTCTTGAGTATTAGAAGCACTCCCTCTACACATCGACCCCATATCAAGCCTAAAAGTGTTCTCGGACCATTAAGCTGTTCGTGCACATACCACCCTGCTCATTTTTCATTTTTCAGTTTTGTGATTCATTTTTTTTTTTGGTCAAAATAAAAAAATCCGAAAAAGCTACGACTACATTTAAAGACTTCATTCAATTAGATTATATCACTAAATAATGTCTGACTCGCTAGCAAAACAGGTTGAGGTATTAGTTGTTGAAGATAAAAAGGTCACTCCAACTGGTGAAGTCGCTGGAGCTGCTGGAGGAGCCATTCCAGCTGCTGTTGCTGGTACCGCTGGTGTTGACTCAGCAGCCGCTGCCTCTGCCACCAACCCAGCCGATGCTGCCTCTGCCATTGATCCTAAGCCTAAGGCTAAGAAAGCTGCAGCACCAGCCGGAGGCAAGGTTTCAAGAAAGGACAAGAAGAAGGAAGCTGCATCTCAAAATTCGTTGTTCTTGGAACCTCAACCAGCATTCATTGATGAACGTATCAAGATGTTCGATGAGTTAAAGGCCAAGTACGACGAGTCAATTGCAGCCAAGGAACGTTTCCCAATCAAGATTACCCTCAAGGATGGAACCGTCAAGGAAGGTACCAGCTATGAAACTACTCCTTTCGATATTGCTAAGGAAATTGGTAAGTCTTTCGCTGAAAGACAACTTGTTTCTAAGGTGAACGGAGAAGAGTACTGGGATCTTGACAGACCATTGGAAGACTCTGTCAATTTGGACTTCTTGGATTTCGAACACCCAGAAGGTAAGAGAGTGTTCTGGCACTCTTCTGCCCACGTCATGGGTGAAGCCTGTGAAGGCCATTACGGATGTCACTTATCTCATGGTCCTCCAACCGACGACGGGTTCTTCTACGACTTGTCTATTAACGATGGGGAAGGTGTCGTTGCACAATCAGACTACGCCAACTTGGAAAAGTGTAGTACCAAGGCCATCAAGGAAAAGCAAAAGTTCGTTAGATTGGTAATGACCAAGGAAGAATTATTGAAGATGTTCCACTACAACAAGTACAAGGTCCATTTCATTAGCGACAAGATTGCAGATGGTGCTTCCACCACTGTTTACAGATGTGGACCATTGATTGATTTATGTACCGGTCCACATATCCCACACACTGGTAGAATTAAGGCTTTCAAGGTGTTGAAGAACTCTTCCTCTTACTTCCAAGGTGACGCTACTCAAGACTCCTTGCAAAGAATTTACGGTATTTCATTCCCTGACAAGAAGTTGATGGATGAACATTTGAAATTCTTGAAAGAAGCTAGTGAAAGAGATCACAGAAAGATTGGTAGAGAACAAGAATTGTTCTACTTCAATGAAATGTCTCCAGGTTCTGCCTTCTGGTTACCACATGGTACTAGAATCTACAATAATTTGGTTGAACTTGTGAGAACTGAATATAAACAAAGAGGTTATGATGAAGTCATTACTCCAAACATGTACAACTCCAAGTTGTGGGAAACCTCTGGGCATTGGGGTAACTATAAGGAAAATATGTTTACATTTGAAGTAGAAAAGGAAAGCTACGCCTTAAAGCCAATGAATTGTCCTGGTCATTGTTTATTATTCAAGTCAAGAGAAAGATCGTACCGTGAATTGCCATGGCGTGTTGCTGATTTCGGTGTTATCCACAGAAACGAATTCTCTGGTGCATTATCTGGATTAACCAGAGTTCGTAGATTCCAACAAGATGATGCTCACATTTTCTGTACTGAAGACCAAATTGAGAAGGAAATCGCTGGTGTATTTGATTTCTTACAAAGAGTCTATGGTATTTTCGGATTTGAGTTCAAGATGGAATTATCAACCAGACCTGAGAACTATGTTGGTGAAATCTCCACTTGGGACAAGGCTGAAAAGAATTTAGAAAATGCATTAGATAAATTCTTAGGAAAGGGTAAATGGGAATTAAATCCAGGTGATGGTGCCTTCTATGGACCAAAGATTGATATTGTTATCAGTGATGCTTTAAAGAGATGGTTCCAGTGTGCTACTATTCAATTAGATTTCCAATTACCACAAAGATTTGGTTTAGAATATAAGTCTGAAACTAACGACAAGGAACATGCTATGCCTAGACCAGTCATGATCCACAGAGCTATTTTAGGTTCAGTTGAAAGAATGACTGCAATTTTAACCGAACATTACAAGGGTAAGTGGCCATTCTGGTTGTCACCAAGACAAATCTTAGTTGTTCCAGTTGGTGTTAAGTACTTTGAATACGCTCAAGAATTACAAGATAAATTGAGTAAGAAGTATGGATTCTACGCTGATGTTGACGTTTCTGGTAACACTTTACAAAAGAAGGTTAGAAGCGGTCAATTATTACAATACAACTTCATCTTTATTGTCGGTGAACAAGAACAAGAAGAGCAATCTGTAAATGTTAGAAATAGAGACATTCAAGAAGAACAAGGTAAGAATGATATGGTTAAGTTTGAGGATGTTGTCAAACAATTGACTTCCTTAAAGGAAAGCAAGAGGGGTGACAATGTGCTTGTATAGATCAGTGTTTAATTAATATAACAATCATATAATAATAGCTAGTTGTTTGACTAAATTTTGTAAGTAACTCTCAGTGTTGTGAGATAGTTTAACAACAGAGAGCATGAGCGATAAAGAGTATTAACGCCAGTACATATTTAAATATCATAATGATAGCCTCAGGGTTGATGCCGGCACAATCTTCACTCTCTCCTAGAGGGATTTTTGAAGGAACAGGCATCATCTAAACTAAAAGCTAAGCATTTGCATATAAAATATCATTGGGCATTTACACTCAATAGTAATGGGTGCAAAATATGTAATAGAGGTAATTTCTTATCTCAAATGGTAATTGTTTGCACTTTCTGGTAATGAGATATAAACAATGCATTCTGCTTCCTCACTACAGTCCCTGAAGCCCAAGAACTAGTCACTGAAGGATAATAATGCTACCTTAATTCAATTATCTGCAACCATACCATAATCTTCCTGGGGGTCTGACAATATTATATGCAGTATTACCATAGCAACTGAAAAATGCCTAAGATTGAACTGAAAAACTTATTGCCTTGACCCATTCTCTCGGTTCCTGTTCCATTTGTATCTATTCTTGTCTTAATAAGCATGTCGGGCAATAACGAAGGGCAAGAGATCAACCCCCTCCAGAAAAAGCTCTCTCCTGCGCAATTCAATGCCAGTGTAAAATTCTATGAAGCCGATCATGAACTTGAGCCTTCAGATAGATCCGAGATTGCCCATGATCTTCAAAATGTTGTAACATTGACATCGACTGCTGGATATGGAGCCGGTATGACGGGATTTTTTGGTCCCACTATATATAGTAAATACGTTAAGGGTATAAAACTTCCCGCAGGTAGATTCCTCTATAAACCGTTCCTCTCCTTTATGATTGGTCTCACTACCATGTTGGTTACACATCAGGGGGTAGCTAAAGTTCAATTCAATTCACAAATATCTGCATTAGAAGCACAGGCTTCGACGAAATCTAAGCAGCTTCAAGTTTGGAAGGCTATGGACTATCATCAAGCGGGACTATTTTATTTGTACTTTAGGCAATCATCCACTGACCCATCGTTCATTCTAAAAGACCCTCGAAAAATGAAGGAGCATGAAGTTTCAGTACACCCATCATTGAAGCACCTGGAAGAGGGAGACTTTGTAGGATCGCTGTGGAACAGGCTTCGCGAAGAAAATGGAGTGGAACCCACTGAGGAAGTTGAAAATACAGGAGGATCTACGGGCAAGTCTGCATGGGATAAGTTGAGAGAGCTGAAGTAACAATAGTGAAAAGTATTGGAGCGAAAGTGAGGGAAGGCTCACAAGTTGCTGAGGACTTTTATATCGAGCTAGCTCCCCACAAAATAAGTATATAGGCCATTGCAAACTTGGAAAATAAAACATTTAGCAGCTACTTCATAGACGACTTGTAACACACTTAGAGCATATTACAGCATGGAAAAGGGGATCACTACATATATATGTCCAACTATAGTGCTTCGGTGTGGTTTAGAGTGCTGCACAATCTTTCGAATATCTTTTCGCAGCCATTCTCTTGAAACTTCCGGGAATCAACTACACGGTGAACAACCCATAAAGTTCCAATTTTTCTCCTGAAACGTAATCTAAAGCATGCCTTGTGGGTGAAACATCTCCAAAACCCAACTACAGCCGCTAGCCACAACTTGTGGTGCCCTTTATACCTACACTCCGGCTAACTCATGAGTACTATTATCACGTCCTGCATATACCCACTGGCGATATTCAAACACGTAAATGAAAAAACATGAACCACCAACGTTTGGTTCTTCTTTTGCTCTGTACCCACTCATTAATATACATTATGGACCATTCTGAATCTGATTTGTATACTATCAAGACTCAGTTCTACACCTATCAACACCAAAAGGTGATTGACTATGACTTGGAACAATTTGCTCCCGAATCTCAATTGAGCGTTCTGATCTTCCAAATAAGATCCACCATCACACTTGGTAAGGATGCCTCCAAATTGATCGAAAACGGTAGAGCCAAATTTTCGTCGGAGGATGCAGGTGATGCCGCTAGTGCCTTGTTGGCATTTGAGTGCCTTCAGGCTTGGAATGACTTAAAGACGTTTGGTACTGACGACTCAACCTACTTCGATGATATCATAACATCGTCTACTCCTGCACTCAGTGAGTTGCAAGCCATCTACACTGCAGTTTACTTGGTTAAGGTAAATAAGGATATTGACCAGGCTATCCAGTTCTTGTCTTCCTACATTGACGCGAAGGCCTCTAACCTGGAATTAGAACCTTTGTTAGTTTTGGTTCAATTGTACTTGATTAAGGGCAACTTCTCCCCAGCTCTCAAGATCTTCAAGGACTTCAAGCAATTCCCAGACTCGGCCAGAGACTCCATTATATACCAAGTTTTGGAATCCTGGGTTTTGTCCATCAAGGGAGAATCTGATAACATAAACAACGCATACTACTTCTACGACGAATTGTTATCTTCCGACTTTGATGACGATGCTGAGGGTAAGTTTAGATTGTTGAACTCGTTATTTGTCTTGACCTTACAGTTAAAGCACTACCCAGAGGCTCAAGAGCTTTTAATCCAAATCAAGTCGTCCAATCACACTAGCACTTCGGCCGACTTTGTAGCCAACCAAATTACATTTGATTACTTGACAAACTCTGGTGCTAAAGTGGAAGATTTCTTACAGGAGTTGACCACATTAGACGAAGAACACAAGCTTTTGATCGACTTGGCGGAAAAGAATAAGCTTTTCGATGAAATTGTGGAAAAGTATAAGGTTACTGGGTAAGTTTATTAGAAATAAGACAAAAGAAAAATAAATGCAAAACAAGAAAAGAAGTTAGAAATGTGGATCCTTGTAGGAGTAGTAGGCAGGCGATGACTTTCTTTGTTCAGCCCAAAAGATGTTGTTACTGGAACTTTATTCATTTGGTTTTATATCACTAACTAAATTTTAACGACGTCTCCCTCATCGTTCAACTTCAATCCCTCGGCAAGTAATCTCTTCTCAATGGCCTTTAATTCTTGTTCTCTTTCCAACAACTCCTTTCTCTTGTTGATTAAATCCTGATGCACTCTTTCTTCGAATTTTCTCAATCTTTCTTCTTCCAATTTGATTTGCTCCTCCTTCATTTGGTAGGTTGCTTCGTGGTCTTGCCCGTCTGCAAGTATTGAATTGCCTAAAGCTGGCGAATCAATTCCAGTACCATTGGCAGATGTTTGTCCAAGAGACAGCGGTGGTTGTATTTCCTTTCCGTCAACTCCACCTTCACTATTGCTTATGTATCTGAATTGCTTTCCTGACAATGCTTCAGTTCTATAGTTCTCATACATGACTTCGTGGGTCAATTCTTTGAATTCATTCAAATGAGTGATCAACAAGACGTTCTTTAAAATCGTGAAGTCATTAATCTCTGGATTTTCCACGTTAATTGGCTTCAAGTACTTGTTGTTTAAAACTCTCAACTTCAACAAATCTTCATCTGCTTCTCCGCCAGCATTGCTTCCTGATGCCTCTTGGTAAGTATTGGCTCCAATGATGGAAAATGGAACCAACAGGTTCAAATATTTATTGTATTCAACGATCTCATCGTCAATATAGTCCAGTTCGTATTCATACTCGTTAAATTTGTAATAATTGATTCCGTAGTTGGTCATATCTTCCAAAATCAATGCCTTATTTACCTTTAATTCTTTTGGAGTCAATGAATCTGCCTTGGCAATCACTGGGATTATGTTGACCAAGCTCGAGATGTGTTTCATGAACTTAACGTCGACTTCGCTCAATCCATGGCCAGTGGGGTTTATCATGTAGATTAACACATGGATTCTACCGTCTTTAAACCTTGGGTTACGCTTAACCCTGGACTCTTCCAAAAGAACTTCGTCGTATTGGTGTCTAAGAAAGTCAACGATGACTTTAAAGTCGTCGTCACAGTTAATTCCATTAGCAAAGTTTGGCGTGTCGATTATGTTGAGCGAGATCTTGTGGCCCTCATTGTCTTCCAACTCGACGTT